CAGGAAACCTGGAGGTCTGCTTGCGCATATACCCCCTAACATTATCAAGACATAACCTAATGTCGAGAACCTTTTAGATGATAAAGTTAGTGTCCCAACTTCATTAAGAACTTGAGGAACTATTTTTCCTTTGTTGGGTATGTAAAAGTCCAACTCCCCTGTTATTAATTTATTTGGCTGTTAAGAAACATTTAACGCAGTTAATGCTGAAGTTGTAGCTGCTTTCTACAGGCAATTCCACCTTTATTGCTAAAGCTATTGGCTGAAGCTTTTCAGACCACTTTGAGGTATGAAATCCCTTTGTTTATAGCTTTTCATGTTTCCCTCTGTCATTCTCGTTTTCGACTCTAAATACTATCCAACTGTCATGTTTGGTGCTAATAATCTTAACCTCGATCTTTTTCTTGTGTAATGGTGCTAGTCCTTGTCTCTGTCAACAATAAAGACATGCCACCGCCTCATTAGGATAAAACACTTCATGAACCTTCTTGTTGCTCTTAGTATAGGAATAATCTAAGCTGCTACTTCATTACGATAAAACTCTTAAATGAGCCTTGTTCTAAGTATGGGAATAATCTAGGTTACTTTCAGTAATGCACACCCTATGGGACCTTATTTCACCTCCTTCTTAGACTCGCAGTGTATAATGTAAAATTATTATTACATTTGTTAATGAGTATGCATCTGGAAGGCTAGCTGAAGTGCTAGAAATAAATGTTCATCGACACTTTTTCTACTCGAGTCAAGACTGTAACTCTCAATTCTCAGAACTCGTATTGGAGCCACTTCGTAGAACAAACTACGAAGAATTGAAAATACTAAATCTATCAAAGAAATAATTCCTATGCAACTTGGTATAATAAGTTGGAAAGTAAAAGCAAGCATGCTGTGGCAGCAATAGTTACAACCCTGAAATAACTGTCAAAAAGTAGTAGAAAGTTATCAGGAGCTTCACTTCAGTATCTTGGTAATGATCTAACCTAAAGTATGAACATGTGATGTACTATCAGAATTTGACTTGTTACGGCATGATATATTTGTGAGTAGTGGTGGCAAAATGGTTAAAAGAAAACAGTTAACCACCCATATTATCCACTAAAAAATGGGTTGGATAATGAACTTTTTAAAAACGGGTCAAATATGGATAAGAACCATATTATCCATTTTTACCAATGGGTTTAACTTTTACATTTGCAAAGCCTCAAATTGGGGGTTCCTCAAGTTTGAGAGACAAGCAATTCTCCCAAAAGTGATCATATTCAAGAACTCATGGATAATATGGTTACCCATATCCGTTGGTTGACCCATTTTTTATCCTTATTAAATATAGGTCGGGGCGGATAATTTATCCATTTTATTACCCCGTTTTCGACCCGAATTATATCCGACCCGACCCGCATGTTTGCCACTCCTATTTGTGAGGGTTGCATCTGTAGCTTATCATATGGTCAGATAATCGCGGGCATTTCGACTGAATTTAATTCTTGTTGAGGAACTCGTTCCCCACATATTATGAATAAATATTTAGTTGTGTAATATTAACAGTTGTCGCGTCTCTCACTCTTCCTATTTGTCAAGTAAATCCGCTTGTTCTCCACACTTTTGTTCCCATAGGTTGTTTTATTAGCCTTCAAAGGGCTGATCCAATTGGTAAACTTCTCAACACCAGCCTTGAACTATTAGTGCAGTTGTTATAGTTCCTTGTTCTGAAATCAAGCTGGTTGGTAGAATGACGCCTTTCTATATTTTCCTTATGAAGAAAGAATTATCTGCATTAGGAAAGGAGTTCACTTTAGTGCTCATGTAATACTGCATGCCCTTGGAAATTCTCCTGTTTCTGACTTTCTTTGGTACTTTCCAATGTTACAGGGATTGCCGCCGCCTCCTAAGCCTAGTATATTTCATGTCTTCGGCTTATCATTTCCCCCAGGTATCCTTCTGTTTTTTGTAGTTTTATGAACGTGTTATCGAAACGAATTGGCAGGATATCGAAAACCTGTGAGGGTAAAGTCAAGCTAATATATAGGGATTGTGGCCAAGTGGAGATGTGGTGGTTTGGATAGTTTGTAGTTTGCTTTCATATTAGGTCAGCAAATTGTTCAGGTCTCTGAGCTCAAGAGGCGACTAAAATCGTATATTTGAATCCTTATTGTCCATGTCGCTTGATTTAACCGTCTTACTATGATATTTTGTTCAAGAATTTGTTGTAATGCTTAAATAATGAATTGAATATTCAGGTAACTAAAAAGAAAAAATAATTTGAGCTCTTTTATTGGTTGACTTTTAGCCACGCGAAACCCCAAGCTGGCTAATAAGCAAGTGATTGGTCTCTCCCTCTCCCCTTCCCCCTCTCTCCCTCTCGATCGAGAGAGAAGCAGACTATCACAACCCAGTGTATTCCCACAAGTGGGGTCTAGGGAGAAGCAGACTCCCCTCTCCCTCTCCCTCTCCCTCTCGATTGATCGAGAGAGAGAAGCACACTATCACAAGTCACAACCCGGTGTATTCCTACAAATGGGGTCTGGGGAGGGTAGGATGTATGTAGCTTTACCTCTACCCTGGAAGTATAGAGTACCGTTTTCGATAGACCTTAAGCTAAAGAAATCTCTTGAGAGGCAGAATGATTGGCATATTCTATGGAATTTGATGATTAGTCCTTACTTTGGATGTCATGGGATCCATCAAAAGGACAATAAAGTGCCATTAGTGTCCCTATGCTTTGTCCTCCAAATTTCTTTTTAGTTGAAAAAGCTCAGATTATAGGCAACGGGTGTTGTCTCAAAAACCTTTGATGAAAGAGTGCCAAAAAGGGTTAAAGTAGCAAAATTTGTAAGCAAAGAGAATAATTACTATAGGTGAACCAACGGTTGGATTCTACCAGACATAAAAGGAGTTTTCATCATTAAGAGGTAACTTTATGGTAAAACTTACATAATTATTCAGACGAGTTTAAAATATAATTTTTATATTATCAAGTTATACTAATTCTTCTTTAAAATGCGGAATTTATAATTTTGAACGTAAATCAGATTACCATCTATAACAAGTAAAGATCAGAGGCAAGCCTAGACTTAACATCGGGTTCATTTGAATCTAATACTTTTGATGTGAAACATAATATTTATGTGTAAAAATTTACTAAAATTGCAACAAATAGTAGATATGAACACATAAGTTTAAAAATATGAAAGGTTCAATCTTAAAAAACTTAAAAGGTTGAATCTATAAAATTTAAATTTTGAGTCCTCCTGGTAGAGATGACGTGATAATGTAAATATTTCTTTTAGTGGTCGAATATTTCATAAAGTATAAATCTTTTTGAATAAATTTTCACATTTTTCTCAATTGAAGTATATACAATGATCTACAATAAGTTCATTATTGTAGATAATGAACTTGCTTAAGTATCAAAACAAAATCAACACTTGAGTAAGGGACGCAAAGTTTCATTAGAAATTGCAAGTTCTAAATCCCATAGTTAAGAAAACGTTACTACGAAATAAACAAGACAAAAAGGTACAGAAACTACTAGTGTGTGTGTGTGTATATATATATATATATATATATATATATATAAGAAAAAAATGAATATTACTACTAACATTAAATATCATAAACCCTTTCAGTAGACAATATTCAATCCTTAAACAAAAAAGAAATCTGTTTTCACTTCACATGGAAGAAAAGAAAAAAGAAATTTATAGTCAACCAACTTTCTACCTGGTTAGAAACCTCCCACCCCATCACCCCTCAAGCCACAAACCAAACACAATTTCAAAAATAAATAAAATATATATGACAGCCCGTTGCACTAAGCTTCCGATATGCGCAGGGTCCAGAGAAGTGTCGGACCATAAGGGTCTATTGTACGCAGTCTTATCCTGCATTTCTGCAAAGAACATGTTTACACGGCTCGAACCCGTGACCTCCTTGTCACATTTACCAGGTTTTCCTTCTAAAATAAAAATATAGAAAGAAAAAAATGGTAGATGATTTCTTTTATCTATTTAAAATTTGGTGAACAAAGTTATATGATATTTGTACTGACCAAGATAACAAGTACCGACTGAATAATCGAGACGCACGCAAACAAACTCATTAAAATACCACGGTAAAAAATAAAGAAAGAAAAAAGAGTGAAGCCTCAAGAATAGTTACTAGTTACAACTACCCTAAAATGGAATTATATTACTACAACTATTTTCTATTTCTCTCTTACTTCTTTACTTCTTCTGTTGCTGTTGTAGTGGTAGCTTCAGCTGCTGGTGGTGGTGGTGGTGGTGGTTTAGCTTCTTCTTGTGGCGGCGGCGGCGGCGGAGCAGTTGAAACACCACCATCAATGCAACTTCTGCATTTCCTCTCAACCCAACCTTCAATATCATCTTCACCTGAACCACTAAAATGTCTACCACCACATAACCTAGCAATTATACCAGCAATAACACCAAGTATTGTTATCACTGCTAATACAACTAACAGTGTTTCTATAGATGTATGTGTTGAGTGGTTTTCCTCCACCATTACCACCGCCACCGGCGGCGCTTCCACTAGTGGTGGCAGTTCTTTCTCATTCTCCATCTTTTTTTTGAAATTTTTTTTTTTAAGTTCTTGAAACTATGACAAAATGAAGTTTTTTAAGTTGAGGTGAAAAATATGGATGACAAGGGTTGAAAGAGAGAGTGAAAATGAATTTGAGAGGAGTCGTGGGTTGTACTTGGAGAGTTTATTAGAGTGTTAGAGAGGGCTGAGTTGGAAAAAGAAAATCGTTTTTTTAAAAGTATATATGGTTGGTTGATGGTAGATAGTAAAAATTTGTGGGTGAAAGTTAAAAGGACAGGCCGGTGTACGTATTCTTTATTTGCTCATATCCGAGGAAGGACCGTATGATGTAGGCAGCTTACTATGATGTCACAGTTTGATCCCGTGACTTTTAGGTTACATGGAGATAATTTGACCGTTGTTCCAAAACTCCTCTTCCTGTGGGTGAAAGTTGAGATAGTAAAACACTAAAGCTAGCATATAGTTTAAAAGGCAGTTCGGTGCACAAAGCGTCCCGCGTTCATGTAGGATTCGGGGAAGGGTCATACTTTAAGGAGTGTGATGTAGATAGTCTATCATAATACTAACATTAGTGACTGCTTAAACCCGTGACTTATAGGTCACACAGAAGCAACTTTATTTGACGGCAGATAGTAAAAATTTGTGGGTGAAAGTTGAAATAGTCAGAGTTTTAGAAATAAATTGTAATTTTATATATATATATATATATA